GACTTGCCATGGAAAGCGTTAAGCAGGGTTACATACAGGGTAGGTGCCTGTATCTGCCAAAATTCCATTACACCTATTCATTTATTATAGCTAAGTGCTCTATCTAATGACACATAAATCTGAGGAGTGACGTCTTTTAAGATCAAGACACCACTTTAGCCCCACTGGCTGCTGTGGGCTCTAAACAGTTGCTTAATTTCAATATTGACTTTAACTGTTTTTAGCCTGGCATATGAGATATCCAATACAGGGGCCAAGACGTATCCTGAGTTGAAAGTAGAATGTGTAACATGTAACAGAAACTTTAAAAAAAAAGTTAAAATCAGTATCACTATTCTAGAGTGGATGGAATAGCTATTTCCTGAACCGTGGTCTTCGGACCCTGCTGCATTGGAGCAATTATCATTTGAAGTAAAATACTGAAAAGCCCTCCCTTCCCTGTTGCACTCCCAATTACCTGCTGTATACACAAAGTACTCCCAATTCTTTATTCACCAAGAAATAAAAATGGTTCTCAAACTGCTTGCATTCCCTCAATAAAAAAGTAAAAATCTGGGACTTGTGGATGTCTTTTTTTTAAATTATTCATTTCAAGTATATACACAGACATATCAAAAAAGCTGCTTCCACCACTAACTGATGTTAAAATTGATGCTAACTGAAAAAGTCTGAGATTATTTTTAAGGAAATGTTTTAATAAATCTATACTACTATTTTAGTATGGTTAAAAAAAAATAAAATTCAAAATTAGCCATCAGAAGACCTAGCAGTACCCAGCACCTCACCAACATTTTTTGGATTGCTCTTCCCAGTTCAGATTTATTTACTTCTCTGAGGATTAAAGACAAACAAACAAATCCTACTTTGCAGGCAGAAGTCCTTGGCTACCTTACAATAAAAGAGTAGAAAGATGAAATTATTTCCCCAACAGGATCAAGAAACATCATGGAATTGTGAGAAGAGGATCATTTCAAAGAACAGAAGATTTGAAGTTAATATGCTTAGCAAAAGGAGATGGGTAACTAGTGGTTTCAGAAGAAACCCTTCTGAAAACAATATAATGTGTATCTTCCCACAGAACCCAATTCTCTCATACAACATGAGAAAAAATTAGAAATACAATAGAAATTATTTTGTAGCATACTTCAGAGGTAATAGATGGAATACTTAATGCTATTTCTGGGTAACTGACCAAACAGACTCTTAATTTGTTGTTACTTTCAGTCCAACATTTTTTCTTTTTTTGGTAAAGTGGTTGTACTAAGGAAAACATAAAACAAGAAAAATCACATTTAAAAAAAATAAAAAAAAAAGGACTGGTTTTTAACTTTTGAAAAGTACTTTTTTTTAACTTTAAGCTCCCTTTAACTCCCCTGTTAAAGGAAGCTCAAATATCAGATATGCAAGTGATAAATAATGCTTGTTTTAATGAGCTCTCGAAGTCACTACAAAGACAACAGATTGCATGCAATTTTGAGCAACAAAATTTACAAGGTTTCAACAGCACTACTGAAAAGCTGAGAAGTTAATAGTTATGTTGTCAGATATCTTGATAACACCATGGTTAAATCAGAAAGTAACATATATCTGAACAAAGAGATATTCCAAAGATCTGTTTGGAATATGTATGTTCTAGGCAATAGAGAAGAGGTGAGAGTGAAAACTAAATTGAGATCCAGCATATAAAAATGAGATGCATCACAATTCAATCCATGCAAACAACCTGGCTGAATGTCCCCAAAATCTGTGCTGGATTTTTGGCACCAAATGTAAAGGGAATTCACTGTAGTATATTTTAAGATAATATTGTATTCTTTGGTATTTGTTGTATCTACTTCAATTCATTTTATGTACAAGGCATTTATTTTTCCCCAAATCATTACTGTCATTTTTTCAATCAAGTAAGAAATGGAAAAGGTTTTCTAAGGAAATTACTTTTAATTTTGTAAAGATAATACAAAATTATTTTTACATATTTTAATAGTGTTAATAGCTTAGTCTTTTCTAGTTCTAAATACATTCAAAACATCAATAAAATGAGAAGGAGCACTAGTCTGCTCTGTCCAGATTGGTACCAGAGGAGAGCAAAAAAGACTATAGATGGCAAACCTGTGAGGACCAGAGAACTGACCTTTAACTGAATGTTGGAACTTAATGGTCAAGATACTCAGAGATCTTACATTCATGAAAAAGAACACATCTGGAAATAAACTCTCTGAATCTACCTACTCACATCAAATGATGCATTTAAACAGAGATGGGAGTTTAAAAGCAGTATTCCACATTACCCACACTGTAACTAAAACGTCTGTGTTATTTGAAGCAATAATTCAAATGGACAGTTTCTTTATAAACAATGCATGTTTGACTGCTGTTTTTCCCCACACTGTTGTTGCATAAAGGTCACAACTGTATAAAATACACAGGAGTGGGATCATGATCCCATGCCAAGTCAGCCAAAATGAATTCCATTTCCAGCTTTGTGAATGACTCACAACATCAGTAACAATTTTTTTTTTTTTTTGGTTCACCTGTACAATGATACTTACCTATTTTATCAGGTTGTTGTGGGAACTAATGATGAGCACGTTAATTTTTAGGAAGCACCATAAGCTGCATCCATTCCTACAAAAATCTGTCCTACAGTAGCTTGCCTAAGTTTTTCAGGACAACGATTATCTATCTTTTTTTATTTGTTTGTACAGTTCCCAGAACAATAGGGTCTTAATCCTTGACTTGGACAACTAGGCACCATTGAAACATAAATAATCAGCAAACAATATGAGTTGAGAGGTTTAGTGAAGTGCTATCGTTCCCAGAGCTCCAAGGCACAGAGCATTTAAATGACCAGAATTCAGCCAATGCAAAGGGAACTGGGGACAAGGAACCAGCAAACTTGGTTGCTTGCTAAACAACTTTGGTGGCTTGTTCTTGAAAGAGTAGGGATACAAAAAAGACAACTGATGGAATGCATATGGTGAGAACACTATCCACAGAAGCACAGGGACTGCAAATATAGTTGCCTTTTGAGCAATGCGTTTAGGGCAAAAGTTTTTTATATATTTGTCAGTTTGACTGTATCTGCAAACTAAGCGTAAACACAGTAAGAAAAACAGGGGATTTTTTTGAGAAACAACATATAGACATGCAATTTGACAAAAGAGATACACATTAACAAGAAAGAAACAGTGCTATGAACAACAAGAGTTGTCTCTTCAGGTGTGTTCTACACACATATACATTGCCTTTATCATGAGTAAGCCCACTACAGTCCAGCTAGAGTCTCACTCAGAAGTATCAGCCATGTGCTACCATATGCACCAAGAACATCCCCCTGCTTCCCATCAGAAGTAAAAAGGCTGGAGCTAGTCCAACTTGAGTAGCTCTTCATCTTGGACAGCTCTTCATCGTCAGCATCCAAGAACAGCTTCAAGTATCAAACAAAGTGTACGTTCTCTCCTCCCACTCTAGTCTGCCCCTGGTGAGGCCACATCTGGAATACTGTGTTCAGTTCTGGGCTCCTCAGTTCAAGAAAGACAGGGATCTTCTAGAGAGAGTCCAGCACAGGGCCACAAAGATGACGAGGGGCCTGGAGCATCGCCCGCAGGAGGAGAGGCTGAGAGAGCTCAGACTCTTCAGCCTGGAGAAGAGAAGATTGAGAGGGGATCTTATCTATGTCTATAAATATCTGAAGTGTGAGGGACAAATGGATGGGACCGGGCTCTTCTTGGTGGTGCCCAGTGACAGAACAAGGGGCAATGGGCACAAACTGGAACACCAGAAGTTCCAGACAAACTTAAGGAAAACCTTCTTTACTATGATGTGAGGGTGCCGGAGCCCTGGGACAGGCTGCCCAGAGAGGGTGTGGAGTCTCCATCTCTGGAGATGTTCAAACCCACCTGGACACTTTCAGGGAACCTGCTTTGGCAGGGGGGTTGGACTAGATGATCTCCTGAGGTCCCTTCCAACACCTGTGATTCTGTGATATAGAATTTGTGCCAATATTTTTAAGTAAAACAACTACTGAACAATTAAGCAACTGTTTCTTCTGCATTGCCTGTCCACATATTTGTTCTGTTGTTGGTGACTTCTAAGCTACTTACCCTCTGAAGGTAGATATCAGTAATTTGTTTACTCTAGAAATGACAGACTGATGAGAATGACTGTCAGCATTACTGGAGTGAAAAATAATTCCTCCCACATGACAAATTAAGAAAGCTCTGCTTCCAGTCAGTCTGGAAGATACCTGGAGGACAGGTAATTTCCACAGGGTGTTGAATGAAAAGGAAGTAGAAGCTGAGACAAAAGCCTGGAGTGTTTCCAGTAAACTGTGAATGGAGGGTGTGGCAAACAAAAGCAGTCTTCAAAAGAGATAAAGGCAAAAGAGTTCAGGTTTAATACACTACACACAACTTTTATTTTCTTAAATAAAGATGATGTTAAAGCAATATATTAGGAAAAAAATAGAGAATTACAACAGGGACTATGTAAATATTGTTTTCAGCCACTAATCAAGGTATGTACAATACACACACAATAGGAAAAAAATTAAACACTTATTTACCCAGATATATCAAGTTAATATTATTCCAATATTTCAGAACAGCCTGTATCCCATCATATTATTATATAATATCATTATCACACTGCATCCAAATCTCTTTGATACTCTCAGTCAACAATTCATAAGACATACCTAACTTGAAACACATTAAATAGATTACTTAAATGAGTGAGTTAATGTGCAATGAAAATTAAAGCAAATTTGTCTTCCCAATAGTTTAGACCCCTCACCTCCTCTTGCATTTGGCAGTTTGATAACTGCAAAACTAGAACAGATTAGAATGATAAAGCATTTTCATCAAAAAACTACAGAGAAATATGCTTACATTTTGATGAGATCTGGAATAGATGCTGAATATTTTTGAAAGAAGAGAAGTTATCTTTTTTTTTTTTAATTAAAGTAAATGGAAAAAACTATTATAAATTCTCAGTCTTACCTGTCGGTACGCTTCATAGATTGTATCAAATAAGAAAGCCTGAGGCATTTCACTCGCTCTGTACCTGGCACGTTCCAATGAGTGGTCTAAACAGCCATCTGCAGCAGAGGCAATAACAGTAGAAACTAGAGGACGAATTGCTCCTGCTGCCTGTGGAACAAAACACAAAGAGAGGTCTAAATGTTGTCAATATTAATGTATATCAGATAGCCATAAGAGCTTTAAAATGCATTTTCAACTTATTTATCTTTTATATATCTCATAATGCATAAGTCATACTACTTTGTTGTCCATACAAAAACGAAGAAAAGGATGCAGCAGCAGAATGTTGCTTATCAAGTCACAAGGCAAAAAGAATGGTCCTTAACAATGCTAACCACTAAGAATAGTGCCCTTACACTATAGTGTTTTTTATCTATTTTTAATTATAATAAAAAAGAATAATTGATGCTGTTCCAAAAACATTTGGAATTATCCAACATCTTAAATCAGTATACCTAGAAAACCACTCCCAATGGTGAATTCTGACATTTCTCACTACAGCCACAGATGATAATCTGAGGTCTAGTGAGGTTTGACACAGAAAAGAAAAAAAAACAGTTTCATCACATAAAATAAGAGTACTGTTATAATTGATTTCAAGTTTCTTCTGTTGGCAATTCCTGCCCACATACGTGAGTCCTGTCCATTTTTACAAGATTTCTGACCTCACATAAGTATACAGTTGCAGAACGAGACACCAAAAGTAAGCCCAAAGGTTTTTTCGCCTCTCAGAAGAGAAAGAAGTAGTTGTCTTCTCTCCCCTTTTCACCCTACTGAACAATAAAACAAAGAGGAATGCGTCAGCATGTTGAGCATTTTATGAGCTCTAAAATACAGCATCTTAATTCACTCTTTTACAGAATGAGGACAGAGATGTGAACCAATTTCTCATGCTCACAGCATTCTGATATGCATGAGCTACTAGGGTAGGGAGAAGGGAGAGACATTCAAAAGATTTGTATGACAGAAACATCTGAACCACTTTCTCAAAATCTGAAAAGCACTTTTTCTTTCTAATACATGGGAAAAGATACATACATTAAAGAGTACACAAAGCAAAACACTATAATCGAAAAGGTAAACATGGTCCAGAAAAATCAGAGATAACTATGAAACCACAGAACTGTCTGTAAAGGATCTCGAGAGGTCATCGAGTCCACCTCTCTGTCCTAGGCAGGATCAATTTTTCTTCTGTCATAGAAAAGACAAACTCACAAAACGAAATACCACTATAATTTTAGTAATAGGTCAATGTATTAAATGAGGAATAAATTCAATAGACATACTTTGAGGAAAAGCTGTGCACAAGCAGAAGTAGAGATACAAAATTATCTGCAACTCGTCCCCTCTCTATTTCCTGTGATTCCAGGACAGGGATTATTACCTCTATATCCCAGCTGCTGGGCATTTGGACTATGTTATGTTGCTCTGCCATCATATTTTAATTGGTCACACACACCAAAAAAATTATAAAATTAGAAGGTCATGGGAAAAGAGACAGAGAAGTATGCTAGCCACAGCTTTTCTGTAATTAGTTGTCTCTTTTTTTTGTCTTTTTTTTTTCCCTGAAACAGTTACCATTCCAGAAAACCAGTTAGCAAAAGAGGATTTCTTAGGCTGATCCAGTATTTTATTACAGTTTTTAACAATCATGTCATGTTACATTTTAAGCATAAAACAGGCCAAGAGAATACAATGTGACTTGCATAACCAAATCTCACAAGTGAAACACGCACTCTGAGAAACAAAAAGACAAACTGTAATTCTAAATAAAATTGAAATACTCAAAATTATATTCTTAAGAGAGCTCTGAAACACATTGTTTTCTTGACATCTGGTTTATTGCACAACAAAAATTCGTTAATGTCTACATTTGTATCTTTGTGGCAATACTGAACCACATCTCCTGCTCTGCTGAGGTCTAGCTCTTCCAGAAGATTCAAGATCTAATTTCTAATAAATCCAAACATATTTTTTTTAAATCCCCAGTTAACTTCTGAAATAACTGGAAGCTTCATGGCACCTAACATCTAACAAATAGCATTTTTTAAACAACTACAGTTTTACTTTACGTTGCCCCAGCACTGCGTCCAATGAGAAATAACAAGTGGGCCACAACAAGATGTCTTCTGCAGCAAGTCCACTCAAACCATACCTGACACTGACTGAAAATGTGAAATTTAATACAAAGAATAAGATTTATAGCTGACTTCTGATCATGCAAGGGAGAGAAATCTTAACTATGCACGCAGTAACAGGATAACTAGCAATCATTTGATTAAAAAATAGCTTTTACTCCAAGAAAGAACTCAGTCCTTGTGTGCTCTATGCTCTAAAAGCAGAATGCACAGCTCTAGTACTTAGAAGTTTCTACTGCACAGAAAGCCTTCCTACAATGAGCAGCTGGGGTCTAAAAGCCGTGAATCCAAGAGCTAGGTACACTTGCTAAGGTAGAGCACTGAGCTGAAACCTTAAAATCCTGAGACAAGATACAGAAACTGGTTGGTTGTTTCACTCAGTACTGGCTCACCTTTCCGCAGGACATTTCTCTGTCTTGGCACACACGCACAAGCTCCTTCAACCAGATGATGTGACCCAACACAGCACTGAGTTTACCACCCCAATGACACAAGAATTACATTAGTTCCTAAGGTCACTTTCAGACTGGGTGAAATTCAGACCAAGCAAAGGAAAATAGTGGGCTGTGTAAGCCCTGCATTGTTTTCATATGGGATAAGACAGCTGAGTCCCTAACACAGGAAACCTTGCATCTGCAGTACTTCTGGCAACATTCTCTAGCTGGCATACGCCAACACAGCTGCCAAACCCAAGCTGGCTTACACAGACCTCACCGCATGTGCTTCTGCTTCCAAAATTGGCTCATGGGTATCTTCATTCATAGCATAAACATAATATTTGGCATGTAAAAACAGAAAAATTGAGCTGTGAATTTTTTTCTCGTACACAAGCCAAAAAGGGGCACAGTTTAAGATGCATGGCTCACTCTGCAGGATTTCCTTCTGGTTAGCGCAAGCATCCTCCCTACTCAGCACAAAGCTTTTTCTGAATTCCACACCTAGTAGTCTTGCAGTGAACTGAAAAGGGAATTTAGGTACTTAAGCCAGGGCTACAGACTACATTTTTTAGTTCAGAAACTTAAACATTAGGGCACAGTAGGCCAAATATTACAATAAGGTACTCCTGTATCTAAAGGGGCTTTTGGCCCTGAAGACTGTGGGGTATAAGTGAAGAACATCATCATCCAGCTAACCTACATCTATTCCATTACAACACCAAGTATTTTACTCTTCGCAAGGAATTTCCATGTTGCTTTTGTGGTTATAAATCAGTCATTAACTATTTCCATATTAGTAAAGAGAGCATACACCGAGTCTCAGGTATCTGAATTTTATTTGTTCTAATTTGAGAAGCTTTAACTTGCTATTTATGTCAGGAATGCACAGGTATTTGGCCCAGTTCTCAGGCAAGAGGTTCAGACATGAATCTTAAAAATGAATAAAACAAAGCAAATCTGTACTCATTTAAAATTATAAGTACTTGTGAATGTCACTATAATTTACAGATCTTTTTTACACTTTGAATTAGCCTACCACAAAATACAAATCCTGTGAGTCTAAAGCAAGTGCCTGGGTCTTATACTAACTTTCCCCTACCCAGAGTACTCATCTTCCAATTTCTAATCATTCTGACCCAGACCTCAAGTAGATTTGCTTTCAACTTACACAAAATGCATCATACACCCTTCCTGAATGTGGATAATTAATGGAAAGTTAAACTGAATTTCTTTAAATGTCCACTTTACAGCCTTCAAGCCACTCCACTTCAAAGACAGTCAACCACTAATTTTGGTGAACCTGGCACGTTCAGGAAATGCATACCTTTCTTTCCTCCATTTTTGCATATTCTGTTAAATAAATTAGTTAAAGCATAAAAAAAAATCCATGGGCAAGCTCTTAAAATATTATTTCATAGTATTATTTCAATATTATTTCATATTATTTCATAAAAGACATTGAAACAAATACTGCTAACTGCTCAGTTTTCTTTTGCAGACAAAATATTGGAAGAAAAAACATCCTTTTAATCTATAATTTCCTTTTAAAAAGTCCTAAAATGTCCTGAAAAGGCAGAATTACAACTTCAGTGTGACAGACTGGTATCTCTCAGAAGCAAGCTCATCCATCCATCTGCTGAAAACTGAACCAGTCTCTGGATGCTCCTAGAAACAACGGGCATCTCTTATAAATCATTTTAAAGAGCACAAATCAAAAATGTTTACAAAAATGTTCTGTTTTGTATTCATTTTTTTGCATAACTGCCTCGAGCACAGCATACATTCAAGATTTAAAGAGGTGATCATGATTGAAAAAAAGATAGAGAATAAAGTGCATCATTCAGGTCAGTATAATAGTGTATCATAAGTATTTTCAATGGATTAAAGGTGCACTAATCCACCTTTCCGCTTATCAGTAACACTGTATCACTCTTATTTTTTCCTACTTTCATTCTGACAATAAATTGTTTAGAAGTGTGTATTCAATGAATACATAACCAGGGTGTGCCTTAAGATCAGACAACACAGTCCGTTCAGGGAGAGTAAAATCCAAGCAGTACTTTTATTACAAAATCAAGTATCAATGTTTACACCACAGAAGCCTACACACAACACAGCAACCCGGCTAACACAATGCAGTATAGCTTATTTTTACTGAATATTCCTAAACATTAAAATCTTCATTTTATTTAAAACAAACAGAACTTGTTAAAATTACAAAAAGGATTAGTGGGGGGAGATGGAGCTTATATCACAAGCAAGAAACTGTCCAGGTTACAAACACCCTCAGCACACAGTGTGTTATTCAGCTGAGATCAAGATTCCACATTTAAAATATAACCTACCAAGAACAAGTTACCAAAGATCCAGAAGCTCCAAAGCAGCATGAAAACCAACACACCCGCATCACTGCTCGGGTCATTTTCGGTAGCCAGAGTTGAAATGGAACAATGCCAAATAGCTGCAAAGCTCAACAAGTTGAAGGATATGGACTAGGAAGAGGAAAAAAAAAAAAGTTCCAGCGGCACAAAAT